TCTCTTCGCATTAGGTGACCAAAGTATCTGAGCTTGAGCTTCATTATCAATCCTTCCAATATTCAGATATTAGCTTCCCTCTCTATTTTTTGCTCTTGCTTCATTTCTAAACTTGGTGACCATCAATCACACCTTTACAAATCTGAGGTTACAGTATTGTAATCCACAGAATGGAGCTCAGCAAGAAATGTATGCAGTGTGTGTAGATGGAATGAATTCAGTTGTGAGCACTTAACTCTCTGGTTATACATTGTTCACTCTCCACATGCAGCGTTTAGTAAGCAACTTGTCTTGCCTTCCCATGCCCCAGATTTTCTTTCTTTACCTTATTGATTGAATTGTTTACAGCACAGACTGAATTCACCATTCAAGGAAATTGGAGCACATTTTTCATGACAATCAGGGCCTTTTTGCCCAATAGTTTTTTTTCCAGCTACATCTAACAACAGAAATGATCATTTATTTCTCCTCAATTGGTCTAGGTTTGGTTTGGTTTGGTTTGGAAAGAGCTTCTAGTTCTACACAAACAATTTCACCCAAGGTATGTGAGTACGTGTCGGGTTGGGGACAGAAAGAGAGAAAGAGAGAGACAGAGAGGTGAAGATTTTGCTATATATGGATGACATAATGATTAGCTTCTAAAGAAACATCCTCACTTATATGAACTTATCTGAATGGCATGTGACTTTCCCAGTTATAGTGCAGTATATATGAAATACTGTTCCCAGGAGGCATGGTTGTCACACAGATTTAGTGCCAAGTGAAATACCTATCACTCAGGGCACCAACAAAACGTCGCAGCATGAAGTACTCCTTTGTAGTGCTTTTGTAATCTGCTGAACCCTCTGCCATTCCATACCCCCTTCCACCTGTTTTCTCTTTACTTCATCCCAGAGCTCATTTTTCATTGTACTTTAGCAAAACATGGGGCTTCTTCAAGCCTATTTATGCATGACAGGTGTCAGTTTGGCTGTTGGTACTGGTCTGTCAGTATCAGAAATTGAGGAAACTATTTGCACAATTTTAATGATTTTTTTAAAGAAAGTACTATTTCTATTGCATCAGGTATATGTATATGTATATGTATAATTTTATTAAAAGTTTTAAAAATGAAGATAAAACTAATACAAAACTAATATAAAGTAAGGAAGAAAAGAAGGAGAGAAATTAAAGAGAAAGCTAAAAGTACAAGAAAGGGAAAAAGTAAAAGTTAGAAAAGAAAGAAAAAAGAAAGAAGTGGCTTCTGATCTTTACAGCAGTTTTAAATACAGTTATAAAATTACCTCTTTCTCTACAGTTACAACATGTCTGTTCTTTCTATAATCTATCCTGTCTAATCATCAAAACCATAAATCATAACTTTATTTTTTTTCTATTTTCTGCAAAATATCCATAAGAGGTTTCCTCTTTATTATTCAGCAATAAATGTAGATATTGTCTTTTCTTTAATTAAAGAAGTCAACTTGGTCATACTGCATCAAATATATTGACATGTATCATTATATATATGGTGGGTGGACATATCACGATCCCGTATGAATGACGTGCTTCAGTGGATTAGGGAAGGGGTAACATCATGATAACAGTTAATGGAGTAGAGAGTTAAATCCCCCTTGGTCAACCATGTCATACAAACTCTCATTACAAGGTTGATGAAGGGTAAAACCTGGCTGTCTGACAAAATAGAAATAAAGTCCTAGAGTAACCATAGCAGACTGTTTGAAGCCTCTCTAGGCATTTCATTCATGTGTTCTTTTCTATTCCATTAGCCTAGCTGAGTAAGCAGTAGCAACAATCTTACTTGGCAATGAATTTTTAAATATTTTTCCTCCAGATATGGTAAAAAGGAGACAGGCTCCCAGACTCCTTTGCAGGTGTTTGGATGTCTTAAAAATGGATCCTGCTCTGATGGACCCTGGATCATGTCCCTCTGGAGCACAGGGGGAATCAGCTGATGAGCAATAGTGGCTGATTTGAACAGCCATGTTGCGCAAACACAATCATGGTGTTTGGGCATCACTTTGTTTGTGTGGAAGGCTGGAAACCAAAGAAATAAATAAACACCTTAAACAGATAAAAATCAATAGAAGAGATAAAAATCAATCTGAGGTTCACAGGTACGTGTGCTTGAAAAATGAAAAAAAATGGAACAATAAAGGGAGGTTGGAATCAAATTATAGTACAAAATAGTGATGCCCTTAAAATCAGTAATATTTAAGTCTTGTTTACTACTAAACAAGTATTAAACAACTTCAGCACTCCTTGTCCCACTCAATGATTCAAGAGACATTTGTTCCTTGCTTTCCTTCTCTTATTCAATTGCTTTCTTGCTTTTTTTCCTCTAATTCCTCTCCTTTCCTAGGTTCTTCCTTCCTTATATATATGGATTAATGAACTCCACATCTCTGTCGCAATTCCTCCCTTCCATATATTATTATGATTGGTCACACAGTCAGCCAGATGTGTAGACTAGATTTGGCACTTTTATCCACCTATTGAGTCCTTCACAAGGAAATCATCATCATCATCATCATCATCATCATCATCATCATCATCATCATCATCATCATCATCATCTGCCTGACTCCCAGCAACTCTGCGTGGTTTACAATTGTTAAAACACTTGAAAAGAATAAGACAAAAAACAGCACAAAAGAGCATCA